GTTCATCCAGCTCTACACCTTGTTATCTCAGATTTTCCAGCATCTGCAGTTCCTACTAATCCAGGATCTGCAATAATTTGTTCCTAAAAAGTAGGGCACTCATTCCTTTGAGCCCGCTCTGCAATTCAGTAAAATCATGGTTGCTCTGATTTCAATCTCAACTCTACATTTCTGCATTTCCCTGATAATCTTTCATCCCTTTAATCAAGCATTCATCTTCCTCTGCCTTAAAAATATTTAAGGATTCTGCATCCACTGCCCCTTTGAGAATGCAAATTCCAAAGTCTCGTAACCCTCAGAAAATTTTCCTCATTTGTCTTAAACAGATGACCTCTTATTTTTAAACTATGACTCTTAATTCTAGATTCTTCCAAAGGGAAAATATCTTTTCACATCTATCCAGTCAAATCTCTTCAGGATTTGCACAGTACATTAATTCACCTGAACTCCAGAGGTTTCAGGCCTAGCTTGTCTAGCCTTTCTTCATAAGGCAATCCACTCATTCCGGATTCAAGAATGCAGTTCAATACCATCTTCTCAAGAGCATCTACAGCAGTCATCAAATGCTGGCCTTGAAGCAACATATCAAATCTTTAAGTTTTTAAAAGGACAAAAAGAAATTGAAGGAGTCAGTCATTTGGCACCCTGAGTCTGCGCTGCCATTCAACAAGATCATGGCTGAGCTACCTCAGGCATCAACTCCCCTTTCCTGTCAACTCATCATAGCCATCAACTCCCAGATATTTCAAAATCTACCCACCATCACTTTAAATATTTTCATTGATCTAGCCTCCATAACAATTTGGGGCACAGAATTCCAGATATTCATTAAATAAAAGCCAAAAGAACTGCGGATGCTAAAGTTCCGAGGAAGGATCACCAGACCCAAAACTTTAACTCTGATTTTCTTTTCACAGATGCTGAGCTTTTCCAGCAACTTCTGTTTTTGGTCCAGACATTCACTACCGCCTGGAAGAAAAGAAATTCCTTCACGTTTGTGTTAAATGAGCGTCTTCTTATTCTGCAACTATTTCCCCTAGTTTGAGATTCGCCCAGGAGTAGGAATAACTTTTCAACATCTACATTGTCAAGATCCCTCAGAATCACATTTGTTTCAATAAGATCACCCCCCCATTCTTCTATAATCTACTGAATAAAGGCTTAGCCTCTTTAGCCGTTAGCGACACATCATACCCTCCATTCCCAAGAATCAGACTAGTGAATAGCTCCTCCAGTCCAGATCTGTCTATGCTGCATTTTTTTTAAAAAGAGATTTTCTCTATTAAAATAAGAATCTACCTTATAATTCTTCCTACCAAAGTGCATGACCTCACACTTTCCTACATCAAACTATCTGCCACGTTTTTATCCACTCAACCTAAAGCCCATGCAAATTTCTTATGTCTTCATCACAACATGCCCTCTCACCTATTTTTGTAACATCAGCAAATTTGAATAGATTACACTTTGCCTCCAAGTCATTAACATACAGTTATCAATTGTTAAGTGATTTAAAACATCTTAAGGCAGAAGGTTTATGTTAGTACTCAAATAATTCTGCTAATAGATATGGATAACAAGTATAATTTTGTCAAAAGTACACAGGAACATAAAAATGTAAGAAAAATTAAAGTACATTCCTTACCCGAACCATCTGAACATCCGATTCTATTTTGAACAATCGATTGTTTAGCCTCCATAACCTTGCTTGGTGCATTACCATCTTTGGCCTTTCTTCACCATTCACATTCTGTCACATCATCCTTTCCCATGTACATATGCTACTTATATACTTCAACTCCTACTGAACCCAACAAAGTCTACCCATCTCAAACAGCTCCTGCTCATTGACCCATAATGACTCGAGGTCCAGAAGCATCCACCATTGACCCTGGTCCACTCAGTCAAATATATCCATTTGCAGACATTGTCTGCATACATAGTTCAACCAACCACCAGACATACTGCATTAACAAACAGCTCGATCAATCAGCAATCTTCATTGTACATTAGTATTGAACTCACAGAATCAAAGTCAAACCTTTTCAAAAGACTACTTTGTTGCCGTCAATTCAAATCTCTCTCTCTGGCTACTGTTTGAAGTTGAATCAAATTGTAAGCGAATTCCAGATTTTCTTTGGCCCCCAAAGTCTGAACTGTATTCATTTTATATCTACCCATTACCACCTCTATTTCATTCAAAACCTACATTTTTTAATCTATTAACTGACTGTTTTGATCTTAAAAACAACATACAAAACATACAATGTTTTGGATCCAGTGACCCTTCTTCAGGGGTTGTAAAGAAGGATCATAGAGTCATACTACACAGAAACAGACCCTTCAGACCAACTCATCCATGCAGATCAGATACCCTAAACTGATCTAGTCCTATTTGTCCACATTTGACCCATATCCCTCCAAAACCCTTTCTACTTATGTACCCATTCAGATGCCTTTTAAATGCTGTAATTGCACCCACTTCCACCACCTCCTCTGGCAGCTTGTTCCACACACACACCACCCTCTGCATGAAAAAAGGGTGTCCCTCACAACCCTTTTAAATCTTTCCCCTCTCGCCTTAAGCCTATGCCCTCTAGTTTGGCCTCCCCTACCCTGGGAAAAAGGCCTTGGCTATTCACTCTATCCATGGCCCTCGTGATTTTTATAAACCATTATAAAGGTCATTGGGCCCAAAACATTAACTCTGCTTTCTCTCCACAGATGCTGCCAGACCTGGTGAATTTCACCAGCAAGTTCTGCTTTTGTTTCAGTTTTCCAGCATCTGCAGTTCTTCGTTTTATACAATGTATAAATTGTGTTATATCATGTAATATTGGCACACCCTAAAGTAATGTGAGTTAAGATTAGTAATACCATTTTATATAATTTTCATGTTCTTAAGATGTCTCCAGACTATCACTACAGAACTTTCAGGAAAATTCATTTTGGAGCATTTGAAGCACTATAGTGTTCTATGCTAAGTCTTTCAGCCAAAGGTTAAAGCGCACTTTTTAAATGAAACATCTGCTAACAACTATATCATTGTGCTTTTCTGGCAAAATAATGTTGTAGTTATATTTCTACTGGCCCGGTGGTTTCCATCACAATCAGGGCCAAAACACATACACACAACATTTTGACATTGATGTACACCAGCTTACTAACATAACTGGGCCACAATCGTGGAATCCACCCCCCCAAAGCCGTCATGCAAAGAATTGCACCGGCTGAAGAAAAAAATCACCTTCACTGGGACCGAGAAGCATGGGCACGGAGTAAACGAGCCATCCATGCTCCTAGAACAAATTCTAAAGATAGGGAGCTACAAATTTTGAAAGAGACAGAATTATTGTCTTATTGTCAAAACAAAAGTAGGTTTGTACAATGAGTATACTGTTCACGGCTTTTATGTAGATAGTCGAAAATGATAACTACAAATATGGGTTTATACACAAGATATTTTACTGAAGTCATTCAAAGGACACTTGAAATACAACCCTTTGACAACATACACCAGAATCTCCATTGAGGGCTTGACAAGGAACTGAAAACGTCTGCCAAAATCTGAAAACACCACTAGTAAAATTCTACAATTCCCATATATATATAAAAATAAAAAGGACTGACATGCGCAGTAGCAATTGGCCGGCACATTTTATTGTTTTAAATTTAAAAGAAAATGCAATGTCAGCGGTGAATTCTTCATCTGAGGTGAGGGATTATAGAATGGGTTAAATGCTTATTTGAAAAAGAAATGTAAAGAGAGTGTGGGGGTGGGGGGGGAATGAGGTTTGAACTTCAGGTCACCGGCAGAATGAGGTCGGGAGGCAGGCCCGAAGCTGCTCGAAGGGTGGGATTTATAGGAAAAGGAAGGGGGAGAAGAAGAAAGTATTAATTTGGTGAAGGTGAGAACTTACAGAACTCGGCGATATAATAGGACACGGCATAATTCTCCTCGCACCAGTCCAGAGTGGAGGTGGGCTCTCCCCAGAAGCCTGGCCGGTCATAGACGGGCGCCATGTTTGAAGGAGGAGGTGGAGAGGCGGCGGGACTAGGCCCCGTCACCATGGCAACCCTCCCCCTTTCAGCCTTGGCCCTGCCTTACCGTGACCTTCACCATTCCCACTCGGCGCCGCAGACTCTCCCTGAGCGGACTTTTTAAAACAGTCGAAGGGTAAAACACTGCGGACATCTAACATTTTGATTTCATTCAGGGAAGAGAAAGTGCTGGAGAAATTCAGCAGGTCTGGCCGCCTCAATGGAGGGTCCCGACCTGAAACGTCAGCTTTCCTGCTCCTCTGATGCTGCCTGGCCTACTGTGTTCATCCAGCTCTACACCTTGTTATCAATGGAGGGAGAAGTCACGCTTCCATCACAACATCACTTACGCAGAACTGAGAATAACTTCTTACATAGAACATAGAATAGTACAGCACACGATGTTGTGCTGACCTATTATCCTACTAAGATCAAACTACCCTGCATACCCATTTTACTGTCGTCCATGTGCCTATCCAAGAGTCGCTTAAAAGTCTTTAAAGTATCTGACTCCACTACCACTGCCGGCAGTGCATTTCACACACCCACCACTCTGCGTAAAGAACCTACCTCTGACATCTTCCCCTCTACCTTCTACTTTAGAAGATATGTAATTTCTCCTAGTTTAAACCTTGACCTCTTTTAAAAACAACCTCTCCTAAACGAATGTGACTCCACTCCCTACTTAATTGGTACACTTGCCTTTATTGGTCAGTGCATTGAGTATAGGAGTTGGGAGGCCGTGTTGCGGCTGTACAGGACATTGCTCAGGCCACTTTTGGAATATTGCATTCAGTTCTGGTCTCCCTGCTGTAGGAAGGATTTTGTTATACTTAAAAAGGTTCAAACAAGATTTACAAAGATGTTGCCAGGGTTGGAGTGTTTGAGCTATAGGGAGAAGCTGAATAGGCTAAGGCTGGGGCTGGGGCTGTTTTCCCTGGAGCATTGGAGGCTGAGGAGTGACCTTATAGGGCATAGATAGGGTGAATAGCCAAGGTCTTTTTCTCAGGTTGGAGGAGCCCAAAACTGAGGGCATTGGAACAAAAACAGAAGTTGCTGGAAAAGCTCAGCAGATTTGGCAGCATTGGTGAAGTAAAAATCAGAGTTAACATTTCAGGTCCAGGACCCTTCCTTAGAACTGTTCCTGATTTACAGCCTCTAGAGGGCATAGGTTTAGGGTGAGAGGAGAAAGATTTAAAAAGGACCTAAGGGGCAATGTTTTCACGCAGAGGATGGTGCGTGTATGGAATTAACTGCCAGGGGAAGTGGTAGAGGCAATGACAACATTTAAAAGACATCTGGATGGGTACATGAATAAGATGGGTTTAGAGGGATATGGGCCAAATGCTGGCAAATGGGACAAGATTAATTTAGGAAATCTGGTTGGCATGGACGAGTTGGACTGAAGGGTCTATTTCCATGCTGTACAGCTCTATGACTCTAATTGGCAGTAATTCATTGTCAATGCGTTTCACCACATGTCAAATCTTTTGCAATTCCTTTGCTTAACATTTCTTCATATCCATGTTCATTCACTTAATGTCTTTCATCCCTCAAGCACTTTTATGTGAAAATGGGATGGTAATGGTAAAGTCATCATAGTCCTGGAGGACTGCGCTCTCATTAGAAAGTGACAACTGGTGGTGGTTTAACCTGGGGTTCACCACACCTCAGGCGAAGTGTGAGGTTGAGAAAGTGGAATCTTCATAGTAACCACATCTGGTGCACGAGTTGACATATGGATTCTCGGCATGACTCTGCTTCCCAAACCATCTGTCCGGCCAACTGATCCCCCTAAAAAAAAAGGGATGCTGGATTAGAGGAAAAAGAAATCCAAAAGCTTTAATTCCCAGTTTGATTTTATTCACGGAATTTAAATTCCACCTGCCACCATGGTAAGATTCAAACCTATGTGCCCAGTGCATTAGCCTGGGCTTCTGGTCTAATGATGTTATCACTATACCGCTGTCTACCCTTGAGACCCTCTTAATTCACTTAGAATTCACCAAAAATCCATTTACCTCTGTCTTGAGTGTACTGAAAGATTGAATATTCATAGCTCTGTGAAGTTGATAATTCCTTAGATTTAGTACACCTCATGTGAAGAAAGGCTCCCTAAGCCCAGTCTTAGATGGCCAACTCCTTCCTTCCAATGGACCTGAAGGAATAAAATTCTGTCCTGCCAATAGTGAATTTTCAAAGCCAGTGAGGTTAATTAGCAATAACTAACCATTGTCATTGTCTTTTACCAGAGCCAAAACTCAGCCATTCTTTTTATTGGCCTTCATTCACATTCATACTCTTTCTTTTATGCTTTACAAAAAACATAAAATGGACTGAGAAGGTCATTAGCCTTTGGAATTCTCTTCCACAGATAGCAGTGGAAGCTAAGTCATTGGATATGTTCAAGGATTTTTATTTTTACATTAGACAAATGTTTTGATTTGCAGGGGAACAAGAGTTACAGGAGACAGGCAAGAAAGTGAAATTAAGGCCACTATCAGATCAGCTATGATCCTATTGAATGGCAGAGCAGATTCAATGTGGTGAATAGCATTTTTCTTTATTGTGATGTTAAAGTTCATTTTTAATGCTGGGATTGATTGGTAGTAATTAGCAATTATTGTTGCCTTTCACCAGATTGCAAATCACTTTGGGAAGATAAAGCAAGGATCAAGAGTGCATCATATAGTCCTTTGAACCTATTTCACTATTCAATATGATCATGGCTGATCTTCTGCCTCTTGATTCCAATACTTGAAGTAATTTATGTCCATATGCAGCATGACCAGAACAAACATTCAGGCTTGGGATGATAATGGCAAATAACATTCACACCACACAAGTGCCAGGCAATGCCCACCTCAAACAAGACTAAATCTAACCATCTCCCTCTGCCATTGAGTAGCATTGCCATTGCTGAATCTCTCCCAACTGTCAGTTTCAATATCCGCCATCATCATATCTCGCTTGTTCTTTTAGCAGAGACTTGAATGCTTTGGAGTCAAGACCCAGTGGTCAGTTCACCATACAGAATGTCTTTGCATACACAGCCATCATCTATCCAATGAATGAGGCCAAACCAGTGAAGACGTCTTTGACTTAAAAATGAGTGTATTCTGATAAAATTACTGTGCTCCAGGTCTGAGTTTGTATCCTTGTCCTGCCAAGAGATATTGAGGCAGCAGAATTAATGGGTTGAACATTCTGCAACAGCTCCAATGTATTAAAGTTTCATGAACACGTAAGACAAATGTGAAAATCTTTTCTGCTACCAAGATATACTATCCATATTTAACCACTATGAAGGAGTGCAGTGAGGTTACAGATAACACAGCAGGCCAGGCAGCATCAGAGGAGCAGGAAAGTTGACGTCTCGGGTCGGGACCCTTCTTCAGAAATTGGGAGGCGGAGGGGAGCTCAGAAATAAAGAGAGGAGGGGTGGGGTTGGAGAAGTTAGATGGGATAGTGATAGGTAAGTGCAGGTCGGCAGTGGTGGGGATTGGTCAATGAGGTGGGAGGGGCGGATAGGTGGGAGAGAAGAGGGACAGGTTGTGTCAGGTCAAGGAGGCAGGGAGGGTTGAACATGGGATGAGGCCAGAGGTGGAGAGATTTTGAAACTGGTAAAATCCACATTTAGGCCATTGGGCTGTGGGCTCCTGAGGCGGAATATGAGGTGCTGCTCTTCCAGTTTGCGGGTGGCATCATTGTGACACTGGAGGAGGCCCAGGATGGACGTGTCACTCAGGGAGTGGAAGGGGGAGTTAAAATGGTTTGCGACCAGAAGATGTGTCGTTTGTTGCGAACAGAGTGCAGGTGCTCTACAAAACGGTCCCCGAGCCTCTGCTTGGTCTCACCGATGGAGAGGAGGCCACATCGGGAGCAACAGATGCAGTAGACAATTAATGCTGTTCTAGTTGAGATTGCTGAACTCCTGTTTAGGGCAGGGATTGAACCTGTAACCTGCCTGATCTATACAATTCACTCACCACCCTAGGCAATGCATTTCTCCCCTGAACCAACTGTCCAAGAGGCTCATTTAATGACAAAAAGAAGCTGGAGAAACCAACAA